TGATACTGTCCCAAAAAGCGTGACATGCATTAGAAATGGCCTGAAGTTCCAGCACATTTATATGGAGTGAGGCCTCCTGCTCTGATCACAGTCTCTGCGCTTTCAGTGACCCCAGGTGTGCCGTCCAAAACATCAAGGAGGCGTTGGTAACAATCAACTTGGTTGGTGAGGTCTGGACAAAGGGAACGCCTTGTCAAATGTTCTCTGGACGCATCCACCACTGCCAGGAGTCCAGAACCAGTGGAGGAAAAGGAACAAGTCTCTCTAGAGAACGAAGAGTAGGATGGTAAACCATCCTGAGCCACATTTGAAGGGAGTAAGGCACAATGTTGCAAACTGGACCACCTGCATGCAAGCAGACATGTCCAAACTGTCATGGGAGGCTGACACACTAGATAAAGGCAAAAGTGGCGAATTGTCTGGAAATGGCTGGTCAGCAGAAATACTTTGGATGTCATGGAATCTAACAGGGCCCCAATGAACTTGATTTTTTGAGCGAGAGCCAAGATTGACTTCCCGGTGTTTAGAATGAGACCCAGACAGTTGAGTAAGCGCACTGTGGTGCCGATGTGAGCAAGAACTTCCTCTCTGGATCTGCCCTTCAGTAACCAGTCATCCAGATATGGGAAGCTGTGAATTGCCTTCTTTGTGAGATATGCCATAACAATGACCACACATTTGTTAAAAACTGGGAGGGGGGGGGAAACGGGGGCAGAGAGGCCAAATGGAAGCACTGTGCACTGCAAGTGGCGTTCTGCCATGATGAACTGAAGGAACTTTCTGTGGCTTGGCAGAATCACCATATGAAAGGAGGCATCATGAAGGTCCAGAGCAGCAAACCAGTCATTCTGAGACAACGCAGGGAGAATAGTTGACAGTCACCATTTGGAACTTCATATACATGATATATTTGTTGAGGCCAAGAAGGTCGAGGATGGGTCGTATGCCTTTCTTGGATTTGGGTACCAGAAAGTATCAGGAGTAGAAGCTGAGACCCTGCTGTTCCAGCAGAAACTCTTCCACCCCTCCCAAAGCCAGCAGAGAGCAGACCTGCTCAAGGAGCAGTATCTCGTGAGAGGGGTTCCTGAAGAGGGATGGGGAGGGAGGATGGGGAGGAGGTGGGGAGAGGAATTGGATGGCACAATCCAATCTGATGATGTTTAGGACCCAGCTGTCAGTGGTGATCGATCCCCAAGCATTGTGAAAGCAGGCCAGCCTGTCCCCAAAGGGGGAGATGAGGACAGAGGAGCAACGACTGGAACAGTGCTCTGGACCGAGTGAAAATGGTTGCTTGGAGGACTCTGGGGGAGGGTGGCTGGACTGGCTGACCCCCAAGCCCGATTGTTTTCTTTGTCAGGGCTATCCCTTTTTCTAGGGTAGTTCTGTTGCCTCAGAGGAGAGAGAGGCGGGCCAAACATGCACTGCGGACGATACTGCTGCTGCTGCTGAAGACCGCAGTGGCGCTTCAGACCGCTGGTATGCACACCCCCAAGGACTGTAGGGTAGCACTGGAGTAATTGGATTTGTTTGCTCCTCTACAGAGCCAAAATGCACAACTTATCACTTTAACTGGAGTTAACAATCACTTTGCTTCAAACAGCAGTTTGGTTTAGATTAAAAGTAAAACAAGTTTATTAACAAAAGGAGATAGGATTGTAATGAACAAGTAGGAATAAAGTTAGAAGGGGTTACAAACAAACAAAAGTAAAAATATGTTTTCTAGTGACTAAGTCTGAACAAAACTACAGTCTTGGTTCAAAGTAAGATTCTTACTACTTTCTTCCAGCAAGATGGCTGACCATCCCTTAGTCATGATCTCCCACAAAGTCCAAAGTACTTGGTTCCTTTGTTTTCTTAGGTGAAAGATAACTTGGGGTTCCTTGTCCTGTCTTTTATAGTCCAGTGAACCTTTGAAATGGATTCTTCTGAAGGTTATCCCGTGATAGGCTCCACTCACCACATGAGTGCCTCTTCCTGGCCAGGTGTTGCATAACAGCTTTCTTCCCATATGGCGCACCCGGCCAATGGTCACTCCATCGCTACAGTGGTCTCTCTTCCTGTAATTCACAGCGCTCTCTCTTTGCAACTCACTCCTCCAGCTAGGTCATTATATAGTCCTCCCTTCCGGGGTATCATTTGGACCACCTCTCTGGACAGCACCTCCAACAGACCTTTGCTATTTGCCAGTGCTGGTACGGGAATCCAGGCCCTCTCTCTACACAGGGTTCCAACCCACGGATCGGTAACCAGCCGCCAAGGTGTACTTATTGCTGTTTTCCTGGGATTCTTCCTATCCTGCCTTCACAGGGTTTCTTTCCCCAGAACTCCTCTGGAATTTACAATTCTTCCAGGGCGAGGACCCCAAGGCTCATTCTCCCCCAAGGTTTTCCCCTTCCTACCTCTGTGCCCAAAGAGTGGCTGTAGACAATCTCTCTGTAGCCCTCTGCTATTAAAAAGGTCCTCTCTTCATCTGCAACTAGTGTGTGTAAATCCCTTGGCCAGATGCAACTATAAAGGTTAATTGGCCCCTTCAGGGCTGGTGTGGGATGAACACACCTCGCAAAGTAAAGTTCATTCAAGCTGTGAGGAAGAAGACATGGAGTCTGGTGGTGAAGTTAAGTTCCATGCTGGTTGCTTCCCTTCTGGTGTTTGCTATAATGCAAATTTAACTGTTCCTGCACCCTCCAATACAAATGAATGGACATGTGACATACGATTGCCAATCGACTCTGATGACACCTGGCTGGAGGCATCGGCTTGTCGTTTGTCTGGAAGAAACCTGCAACACCTTACGGGGCACAAGTGATAGACACTCTACATCATCAATACTCAAACTTCATTGCACCACGACCCCCTTCTGATAACAAAAATTACGACATGACCCCAGGAGGGGGGAACCGAAGCCTGAGCCCGCCCAAGCCCCGCTGCCCCAGGTGGGAGACCAAAGACAAAGCCCAAGCCCTGCCAAACCAGGCAGGAGGGCCAAAGCCCAGTGGAGCTCAGGCTTCGGCCCTGGACAGTGGGGCTTGGGCTTTGACTTCAGCCTTGGGTGGTGGGGCTCAGGCTTCAGCCCTGGGCCCCTGCAAGTCTAAAGCCAGCCCTGGAAACCCCATTAAAACGGGGTCCTCACCCACAGTTTAGGAACCGCTGCTCTACACGCACGACAGAGTCATTCCCAAGTAGTGGAAGTAAGCTGTCCCCTCTCACACATAATGCCATAGCCAGGGCCGGCCTTAGGGAAAATGGTGCCCAGGCGAACTTTCTTTGGCACCCTTTAAGTACTGCTCCCCAAGCAGCTGCACAGTAGGCAGCGTGGCAGCTTATGGAGCGGTGGTGGCGCTGCAGGTATCGCTGCCAGCGGGAGGGCAGATAGGGGATGCGTGTGAGCAGCTAGCTCCCGCCCTGCCGCCCCCTTTATCGCCTCCTCGGAGGGCACAGTCCTTCTGCAGCCTCTTGACCATGATGCCCTGGGCAGTCGCCTATGTTGCCCACCCATAAGGTCAGTCCTGGCCACAGCAGGAGCCCAATGCCAACATATTGTGTCACACACACACACACACACACACAGGAACTATAACACAAGATCGGCCATACTGGGTCAGATCAAAGGTCCGTCTAGCCCAGTATCCTGTCTTCTGACAGTGGCCAGTGCCAGGTGCCCCAGAGGGAATAAACAGAACAGGGAATCATTAAGTGATCCATCCTCTGTCGCTCATTCCCAGCTTCTGGCAAACAGAGGCTAGGCATACCATTCCCGCCCATCCTGGCTAATAGCCATGGATGGGCCTATCCTCCATGAATTTATCTAGTTCTTTTTTGAACCCTGTTATGGTCTTGGCCTTCACAACATCCTCTGGCAAGGAGTTCCACAGGTTGACTGTGCATTGTGTGAAGAAATACTTCCTTTTGCTTGTTTTAAACCTGCTGACTATTAATTTCATTTGGTGACTCCTAGTTCTTGTGTTATAAGAAGTAGTAAACAACACTTCCTTATCTACTTTCTCTACACCAGTCATGATTTTATAGACCTCGATCATCTCTCCCCTTAGCTGTCTCTTTTCCAAGCTGAAAAGTCCCAGTCTTATTAATCTCTCCTCATACGGAAGCCATTCCATACCCCTAATAATTTTTGTTGCCCTTTTCTGAACCTTTTCCAATTCCAATATATCTTTTTTGAGATGGGGCGACCACATCTGCACACAGTATTCAAGATGTGGGCGTACCATGGATTTATAGAGAGGCAACATGATATTTTCTGTTCTATTATTATCTATCCCTTTCTTAATTATTCCCAGCATTCTGTTTGCTTTTTTGACTGCCGCAGCACATTGAGTGGATGTTTTCAGAGAACTATCCACAATGACTCCAAGATCTCTTTCTTGAGTGGTAACAGCTAATTTAGACCCCATCATTTTATATGTAGAGTTGGGATTCTGTTTTCCAATGTGCATTACTTTGCATTTATCAACATTAAATTTCATCTGCCATTTTGTTGCCCAGTCGCCCAGTTTTGAGAGATCCTTTTGTAGCTCTTCGCAGTCTGCCTATGGAACTATGGTATTCATTGTAGGTGAAAATAGGCACAGAATAAGCGGGGGGAATTTGTGCATGCAACACAATTAGGATGTGAAGAATATCAAAATGAAACAAACCCCCAGAACTGCCATTTATACAGAGCTTCTCTAAAAGGGATGTGGAGCAGACTGTGGAAAGCTGAGGGCAATCATGAAAACAGATTAAGTGTAAAGTAAATATGTCTCTGCCTCCCACAAATGAAAAATAATTTCAGCCAGCTATTTTGTAGTATGATAAAGACTGACAAAGGCACAGGATTTTGAAGAACCTCCAGCAGGAGCCACCCCCAGTGAAACTGCTCACTGTGAAATAGAAGGAAAGGTCCTGAATTGTGTCCCTGCAGACTGGAGTTTCACTTAGAAAGTTAGTAAAGTAACATCACTATTAGACTCTCAGAACTAGATCACACCGACTATCCCACTTACCTGTTTGAGTGCCTTCTTGCTGTGCTTCTGGGATGGCGAGATGACTTTACCCCCTGGGATGGAAGGAGATGGGCAGCCTGACGGCGGGGAGCATGTCTGTGACAGTCTAGAGGGCACTAGGGAAATAAAAAGAGAAAAACAATTCAGAAATAATTATATAGCCTGTGGGGAAAACAATCCACCCCTTACATGCCCCCAGGGCAGCAGTCACTCTTTCCCATGCTCAGAGACCAACCCCAGCATCGTCCCCCCTGGGTCTGTGAGCCCTGCACGGCTAGGAGATGTTACCTTTCATCTGGGGGATTGTTTCCCGTTTATTTCTCCAGGGAAGTGCAGGGCAGCAATTGTCAAACTGGCAGTTGATTATCACTGAAGAGGTTTCTGTTTTACTCCATCTCCCCAGCCGGGGTAGCAAAGGCACTTGGAGGGTGAGTGACTAGGGTACCTACCAAGTCAGTGTCTGGCCGCAGCCTCCCTTCCTCCCAGAGTCTTGGCTCTGAACACTGGACTACACAGCCTCAGTTAATTGCCTCTTTTCACTCTTGACATTGTGGTTCCCACCCTAGTGCTACACATATCAGTCCTCACCCCTCAGGGTTTTGTGACTGATGCTTCTGACTTCCCCTCACTACCTGCTGGCCCAGTTCTTCTCTCGTTCTTTTTGCTGATATACACTAACACAGCTACCACTAAAGAAACTAAGTAGTCATGGATGAGAGGCAAAGTATTGTCATGGATCAAAAACTGGCTAGGAGACAGAAAGCAACAAGTAGGACGAAATGGTCCATTTTCATGATGGCAAAAGATTACAGTGGGGATTCTTCAAGGTTCCATACTAGGTCTGGTGTTGTTACTATATTAATTAATGATTTGGAAAGGAGGTGAGTAATCAGGAAGCAAAAGCTGTAGATGACACAAAGTTAGTCAGGACTAGAGAGGACTGTGAGGAACTTCAGACAGACCTAGCCAAGACAGGAGAATAGGCAACATGATGGCAAACGAAATTAAATCTTGTTAAATGCAGAGTAATGGGGGGGGGGGGGGGGGGAGAGGAGAAGGGGATGCCGACATGAAGTTTATGGAAGCTGTACTGCCATCTTGATATGAAAAACCTGGTCACACTGGATGAGGGACCCAAAGTGTCCACAGACTTCACCTCTTATTAAAGATGAGGACAGCTGTAAATTTGGTACATTCCTCAGTCTGCCAGCAAGTTGAAAGTATAGCCCTTGGTTAGGTAACCTCTGGGCCCCAGACCTGGTATAAAAGACTGGATTCTTGCTTACAACTCTTGTACATAAACACAGGTTCACACATAGACTCAGAAACAGAGTTGGCTGCTATTCGCTTTGAGACATTTGAATAGCAGGAACATAAACCACATCCTCTCTGAAACCAATCAAGACAGAAACTACTAGTTTTGTGTGCAGCAGAATAGCTAAAACCACTAGAGGCAACTGCTTTGCCTCACTTTAATTTCTCACAGTCCTATGAGGCACATTGTGAATTACAAACTACATGTCAAACTCTTTGTTCCTTTAAACTAGCAAAAGCCATACATGCCGGGAAGTGGATTTTCATCTCAGAGTCGAGTGACTACCTTTTGCATTGTTTTAATGCTGACATTCTCTGTGCAATGGGGTCTGCTGTGCCTATACTAACAGCTGTAACCACAATGAATTCTGCAGAGTAAACAGAAGAGTTAAAAAAAGTTGGCATGGTCACAGTTGTTTAATTTAGCTACTGGCTCCCCAAGTGATGGGTATCTAATTGTGAGGATAAATGGCTCTCTGAACACACAATACAGACATGCATGGGTATAAGTCTTTAAACCACGATTTGAGGACTTCAGTGGCTCAGATATAGGTGAGGGGTTTGTTACAGGAGTGGGTGGGTGAGATTCTGTGGCCTGCGTTGTGCAGGAGGTCGGACTAGACGATCATAATGGTCCCTTCTGACCTTAAAGTCTATGATTCTATAATAAAAAGATACACGCACGCATACAGAAGTTTAAACCGACAAATGAGTTTAGAGGGCATGCATCTGTTGTGGGAGTTCTCATTCCTGTAAGTACAAGGTTTTAGAAGCTGAGCTTGTTTCCTTTAGATTTCCGTAGCTCAGCTAAAACTTGAGTGTATCTAAAGAGAATATAAACGCAGTGTGGTTTGTCTTCTTAAAAATGCTCTACTTTCACCGTGTAACTTGCAAGAGTTAGTTAGCATTAGTGTTACATTTTATACATTTTAAACATGATCCTATGTGGAGCAGGGAAATTTTGCTTCCTGATGCTACTAGATTCCTGGAGCACTTGGAGTTAGTGTTACAAAAACAATCACAAGTTCTGGAATTATATTATAAAAGTGATGGATGTAACTGGAAAGTCCTCAGGTGGAGTTGCCATCTGATTTTAAAACGTTAATGACTTGGTTTGCACTACAGTAAAACCTCAGAGTTACGAACACCCGAGTTCTTCTTCGAGTGATTGCTCATGTGCAATAGGTGTGTGCGCGCGCCGTGTGCACGATCGTTGGAAGGTTTTCCCTTAGCGGTACCCGTCGGGTTGGCTGTGGAGACCCCTGGAGTGGCGCCTTCATGGTTGTGTATATAGGTCCTCACCGACCCCCCGCCTGCTCAGTTCCTTCTTACCACCAGTGACGGTCATTGGAGCAGCTCAGTCTCTTGCATTCGCAAGTGCCTACCTAGTGGTTCCCTTTTCTTAGTTGTAAATAGTTATTAGTTTGTTATATAGTTTGTAGTTAGTTGGGCTGACTTTGGGGGGCTTCCCCCCACCCTAGTTTCCCCAGGCACCGGGGCATGCCTTGGTCGCAGGGGTTTAAGGCGTGCGAGAGGTGTGCGAAACCTTTGCTCACAGGTAATCCACACGTTGCTTGTCTCAAGTGCTTAGGAGAAGGCCAGACAGACAAGTAACCAATTTGCAGGAGCTTTAGACCCAGGACTAAGAGAGAGCGGGACTCCTCCTGATGGAGTCGGCCCTCCGCCCCCAGCCAGCACCAGAAATGGCACCAGCATCATTGGTGTGCAGCGCCCCGGCCTCGGGGTGGGACGTCCCGGCACCGAGAAAGGACTCCTCAAAGGAGCACCGGTGCTGCTCCCCGTCTCATAAGGCTAGTGTTACCAGGTGGCATCACTCCCAGTCCCCAGTGCCACATAAGAAGTCATGGGATGCTAAGAAGCTGGACCTTTTTGGCTGAAAGGTCTACTCAACCATAGGGCTCCAGCTTCAAGTGGCCAGCCAGCCAGCAGTACTCAGCTGCTATGCTTTCAATTCTTGGAGCTCGTTGGCAAAATTCCAGGAGTTGCTCCCGGCTGACTCGTGCAAGGAGTTTAGCGCACTCCTTGAGGAGGGCAGGGTGGTCTCGAGAACCTCTCTCCAGGCCGCGTTAGACGCAGCGGACTCGGACCATGGCCACCGCCATTACAATGAGGTGCAGTGCGTGGCTGCAGGTGTCGGGGATACCACCTGAGGTCCAGAACATGATTCAAGACCTCCCTTTTGACTGTGCAGGCCTGTTTGCCCAAAATATGGACTCTTGCCTGCACAGCCTTAAGGACTCACAGGCGACTTTGAAGTCTTTGGGGATCCACACCCCTGCACTCAAAAGAAAGCCTTTTAAGCTTCAGCCCCATCCCGTTTCTACTCTGGGCTTCCCAGGCGAGACTCGTCCAGGAGACGGGGCAGAAATAATAGGAGGCGCCCGCCACAGTCCTCCTCAGGCCAAGGCCGGGGTTCGGCCAAAGAGCCCCCGGGCCTGAAGCCAAACTTTTGAAGATGTGCTCGAGGACGGAGCATCAGTATCGAACTTGGATCCTTACCCCCCCTTTGTGAATCGACTCTCCCGCTTCTACCGTGCTTGGTCCCAGATCACGTCAGATCGCTGGGTCCTGAGCCCGGCAGGGATGGGATATTCTATCCAATTCTGTTCCCTACTGCCCTCCCCACCCCTTCCCCCTTCAGGGACCCTTCTCACGAACAACTCCTTTTGCAGGAGATGCAATCGCTCCTCGTTCTAGGGGCAATAGAGGAGGTTCCTCACGAGTTCAGGGGCAAGGGGTTCTACTCCTGCTATTTCCTCATCTCCATAAGAACGGCCATACTCGGTCAGACCAAATGTTCATCCAGCCCAGTATCCTGTCTACCGACAGTGGCCAATGCCAGGTGCCCCAGAGTGAGTGAACCTAACAGGTAATGATCAAGTGATCTCTCTCTGGCCAACCACCTCCACCTTCTGACAAACAGAGGCTAGGGACACCATTCCAAGGGTGGGCTCCGGCCTATCCTGGATCTGCGAGACCTCAACACATTCATAAGGAAAGTGAAGTTTCGCATGATCTCTCTGGCCTTTATCATTCCATTCCCTGGAAAAAAGCAAACATGATTCTGGGATGTATTAACAGGTGTGTTGTGAGCAAGACACGAGAAGTCATTCTTCCGCTCTACTCTGCTCTGGTTAGGCCTCAGCTGGAGTATTGTGTCCAGTTTGGGGCACCGCATTTCAAGAAAGATGTGGAGAAATTGGAAAGGGTCCAGAGAAGAGCAACAAGAATGATTAAAGGTCTTGAGAACATGACCTATGAAGGAAGACTGAAAGAATTGGGTTTGTTTAGTTTGGAAAAGAGAAGACTGAGAGGGGACATGATAGCAGTTTTCAGGTATCTAAAAGGGTGTCATAAGGAGGAGGGAGAAAACTTGTTCACCTTAGCCTCTAAGGATAGAACAAGAAGCAATGGGCTTAAACTGCAGCAAGGGAGGTCTAGGTTGGACATTAGGAAAAAGTTCCTAACTGTCAGGGTGGTTAAACACTGGAATAAATTGCCTAGGGAGGTTGTGGAATCTCCATCTCTGGAGATATTTAAGAGTAGGTTAGATAAATGTCTATCAGGGATGGTCTAGACAGTATTTGGTCCTGCCATGCGGGCAGGGGACTGGACTCGATGACCTCTCGAGGTCCCTTCCAGTCCTAGAATCTATGAATCTATGGATCTGGGGGACTGGTACGCTGCCCTCGACTTGAAAGATACGTATTTCCATATATCCATTATCCCAGCCCACAGACGTTTTCTTCGCTTTGTAGTCAGCAGCCAGCACTACCAGTTC